GTTGTGTTGTATCTGCTTCATCGCAGGTCCTTATGAATCTGACGAATGACAATCCACTTGGATGTCGGCAAGTTGCACAGGGTGGAGGAATAGATGCACTTGCACTCCTTCTTGTGGCCCAGTGTCCTTTGCCCCCGGTTACCTCGCTGTCAAAGTGCATGGTCACAGAAGGCCTGGCGGAGGAGCTCTCGGGACGGGATACCATCCCTGTGATAGAAGAAGATCTTGACTTGCTTGTTGTGGTCTTGGGAGTGCTTGTGAACCTTGTGGAGAAGGATGAAAGCAACAGGTAAGTGGTCCTTCACTAAGACCCACATTGTACCGGTCGTCTTTGCTGTCATGTCGTAGTCATTGTTATGCCTTAGTGTACAACACCACAGGATTACCCCCAAAAAGAAAAGAAAAAAAAGAAACACGACAGGGTTACAATGCCATTGCGTGTTGCTTCTGGTAATTTGTACTTATGAGATGAATCCTCAGGTTTCACACATCGCTTGGAAATAAGCCTGACATGAAACTTGACAGAGACCTGTGCAGGATCTAGCCATTTTGCAGGGATTCATCTCCTGAAGGGTATAGTTACTCTTAGATTGAGCCATGTACATTGTACACTCAATAATTTGTGACACTGTGCACTAGGGATATTCGGTAGCCATTATCTTCAGCTAATGTGAACATAGGTTACGAGGTATCAAACAAGGCTTGAAAACTGTCAATATCTCCCACCCGGCACTAATTATGCAACTTTGGGATTATGTATACGATCACATGCAATGAAGAGAGAGAGCACACCAAACTCTGAAAACTCGAAATTATCATAAGTGCGACACTTGTACTTGAAGAAAAGCTTAGTTACAACATAGATTGTCTTCGGGTGCTCAGCGCCAGTCCTTAACACAACTCAACACACAGCGGAAGGCTCTCCACACATAGGTGAACTCTACTCCCTCTCTCTTCGTCTGTCTCTCTCTCTACCACTCCTTACTTGATCTACCTGAATACCCTACGCTGAACTACTGTGGGCGGCTAAGGCTGCCAGGCCTCCTCCTTCCCTAGGCCCTCTTCTTCTCCAGGCGCTCTGCAGACCTCCAGCGCCCACTCCGCCAACGCAACATAGCACAAGTCGCCAAACAGCGCCTAACACTTTATTCATGAATGAATCCCCTGGACTGGACTCCCCATCTGAATTTATAGTGCTGCTTTGCCCTTTCAGCACTTCAGCCTGGGGTACCGCCCGGCGCCCGGTACCTTACTTTTTGCCTGGCCTGGTACCGGTACTTTCCCTGAAATGTTGCTGTGACTGGGACTCAGGTCGGACACTTATTTTCGGGGAACTGGATCCGATTTTGGACTGGGCCTACCGGTTTAGACTAGGCCTGTGTCATTTCAGGGCCTACCTACAGACTTTGGACCATTCTTGCGGCGCATCGCGGTGCGCGGCATCCCACACGTGCGCCGCAGCGCACTTCGCGCACGATGCGTGCGCACGGGATGCGGCGCACCCCGAAAATAAGGGGTCGGCAAAAAAAAAAAAAAGTTGGGGAGGGGTGTCGTAGGCTCGAGTGGGATGTCGCGTCCAGAAACGGAAAAAAAAACCAACAACATTTTGGGGCCGCGCGGGGCCCCGGAAAAAAAAAAGGGGGGGGAGCTGATTTTTTTTTTTTTTAAGGAAGAACATCAGAATTTCTTTGCATGAGTGTCGCCCGGCCCGTCCAACCTGTCAGAACCTCAACGGTAATTGTAGTCTGTATGGTAGGGTTCTTGCAGCCCAGAGTCAGTCATGATGAGGGTCGCGATCTCTCAAAACGATCTCTTCTTATTACTTCTGAAGTAGAAAACGACGGAACTGACAGCCGTCTTTCCTGGATTTTTTTTTTTTAAGGAAGAACATCAGAATTTCTTTGCACGAGTGAAGCCCGGCGCGTCCAACCTGTCAGAACCTCAACGGTAATGTTCACCAACGGGCTCGCTGCACAACTCTCGACATGCACAACAAGACATAGGGCCTCGCTGCACTACTCTCAACATGCACAAAAGACAAAAATATTGGCGGTGTATCTTTCCATATTCTAACGCAAGATTCACTCTCGGTTTGCAGATTTCCAGAGTAGTGCAGCGAGGCCCATGTATGGCAATGTATCTTTCCATGTTCAAGTGGAGGATTCAGTCTCATTTGTTCAGAGATTCTCCAAAAAAAAAAAAAAAAGTTTCCAGAGATACGTTACGTGCTTACCAGATTCATCGGCCCTTCGTTCTCCACCACCCAACGTATGAATGAATCTTCCGC